GCAGCCGGAGTTCGGAGCGGCATCCATCTTGGTATGCTTTTATCTCTTTGCTGTATCCACGTGGATTGTTTTTAACTATTTTTCAATAAATACTACACTATATTGCCATACCTTCAGCTCCTGTGGTGAGCTTCTCCCCCTAGGAGGATCCTTTGCTGGTTTTGCATAGCCCTGTCCGTGGAGAAGTCAGTTCCCTATTTATGGCTGCCTGAGACCCCCCCATAAGGATCAGCATTAACACTATTATACAAGTAGCGTTCTGGTGAGTGCACATCCATTAAAGGTGGTGGATTCCCATGTTGGATCATGAGTACTCTCGAGCATCCCAATATCGCTAAAAAGCACACACGTATCACTTGGCACTTCTGTGACCTGTAGTGCCACGGACTATTTATATTCACTATTTATGTTCAGATTTTTAGAGGTTTTTTATGATTCTATGATTTTATACAGTGAGGAACAGAAGTATTTGAAAACCCTGCGATTTTGCAAGTTCTCCCACTTAGAAATCATGGAGGGGTCTGAAATTCACATTGTAGGTGCATTCCCACTCTGAGAGACAGAATTTAAAAAAAAAATTCAGGAAATTACATTGTATGATTTTTAAAGAATTTATTTGTCTTGCTCTGCTGAACATAAGTATTTGAACACCTGAGAAAATCAGTGTTAATATTTGGTACAGAAGCCTTTGTTTGCAATTACAGAGGTCAAATGTTTCCTGTAGTTCTTGACCAGGTTTGCACACACTGCAACAGGGATTTTGGCCCACTTTTTAAGCTCAGAGTTTAGAGGCAGCAAAAAAACAGTTTCACATTTTTAGAGCAGTTTTCTGGCAAACAAAATGTAAATGCTCCTAACTCTCCTAGAAGCTTCTAAACTGCACAAAACCTCTCTATATGAGCATTTGTTTCTGCCAAGTGAACTGGCTTTTTTTTTTTTTTAAAGCCCAGTGTGCATGGAGCCTAATAGTAAAACAACTCAACTCAAGTGACAACTCCACCATAAATTGCCCCATAGTGGTGTATGCATTCTGTTTCTATTACAAAAAGTCAAACAAGCATGGACAGATAGCTATCCAGACAAACTCCTTCTTGGATACTCCCAAAGATAATGGAAGCTCTCTCACCACTTACATATAACAGTGCTGCTTGGGTTAATCAACCAGCAGAAATAAACTTTTCATCTCTGCAGCACTGTGTGTACCAGAGGCTCAAAAAAAAAAAAATGGATGAGTCTGTCCACTGAATTCAGGATAGACTGAAGCGGGGATAGCCTGTGTTGGGGTAGGCCAGTGAGAAGGGAGTTGCAGTAGTCCAGGCGTGAGATAATAAGGGAGTGAACAAGTTGTTTAGTAGTGTCTCGGGTTAGGAACGTACGTATCTTGGAGATGTTGCGGAGGTGGAGCCTGCATGAATTTGCCAGTGATTGGACATGGGGTTGGAAGGACAGGTTTGAGTCTAGGGTGACACCTAGGACTTTAGCTTGGGGGGTGGGATTGATGGTGGCATTGTTGGTCATGATGGAGAGGATGGGGGGGCGAGGGCTGGGGGGAAAACTAGGAGCTCGGTTTTGGAAAGGTTCAATTTGAGGAAATGGAGCGACAACCAGTAGGTGGGTGATACGGGCGGAGACATATTATTGTTATTATTATTAGAATACTGGATTTATATAGCACCAAGATGGAGAAAGTAAAGAAACAGTGTATTAGTTAGAAGCAGGATAGGCTTCTTTAAAGAGAGGGGTTTTCAGGGACCATCTAAAGATGGATAGATCAGGAGATAGTCGGACAGCTTGGGGTAAGGAGTTTCATAGGATGGGAGAAGTCCTGGAGGCAAGCATGGGAGGAGGTGACAAGGGAACTAGAGTGCAGGAGGTCTTGGGAGGACAGAAGAGAGCAGATTGGTTGATATTTTAAGACCAGGTTAGTGATGTAGCTGGGGCCAGAGTTGTGGATGGCTTTGTAAGTTACTGTTAGTACTTTGAATTTTATTTGTTGGATGAGCGGAAGCCAGTAGAGGGAGTGGCAGAGAGAGGTACTAGACACTGAACAGTTTGGAAGGTGGATGAGTCTGGCGGCAGCAGTCATGATTGTCTAAGGGGGATAGCCTATGTAAAGATAATCCAATGAGGAGTGAGTTGCAGTAGTCGAGACGAGATATAACCAGGGAGTGAATTAGAAGCTTTGTAGGGGCATATTCTGGAGATGTTGCGGTGGTTGAGGCGGCATGATTTGGACAGGGATTGGATGTGGGTCTGAAAGGACAGTTCAGAGTCCAAGGTTACCCCCAGCACCCTGGCATGTGAGGATGGAGTGACAGTTGTGCCATTGATCTTAACAAAGTCAGGGGAAGGGGCATGTGAGGAAGGAAATACCATGAGCTCAGTTTTGGATAGACTGAGTTTGAGGAAGTGGTGTGACATCCAGTCTATGTCTGTTAGTAAATCAGTCATGCCAGCCAGCTTGCAAACAAACCAAATTAACCTGTCTAACGGTATGCATTAAAAAACGGGTTTAGGGGGGGCGTGGCCAGCCACGGACGGAGATGGCCGCATAGCAGGAAAGCTCTGGGAGCTGCCGAGAGCTGCAGCCTTTAACCACTTCCCGACCGGCCGTTGTATATAAACGGCTGGACGGTGGCACTGCAGGGACAAGTGGCCATTTACAAACGGCCTCCCCGCACCCTGCTTGTTCGCGCTCCCCGGGAGCGTGCAGCACCGCGATCCGGTGCCCACTGTGTCCTCCGGACACAGTGAAACACCGATCATCGGATAGGATCTCTGTACGAGGTCCCGATCATGTGATCACTGATTCACATGCAAAGTAGTAAGCAAGATGTCACTTCTGACATCATTGCTTACTACGTGTGAAATCTGTGAATGGTCACAAGGTACAAGGCTATTCACAACAGCCTTGTACCATGTAACAAGTCCATCATAGTAGAGTTGCAGCAGCTTGACAAATTTGAAACCGTGGATAGGTAGAATAGCGGCGTTTAAAATGTTTATATTTCCTAAAATAATATATTATTTTAGAACAATTCCGATTCTTATTCCTCATGCTTACTTCCGTAGGTTGGAGGCGGCCCTAAAAAGATATATCTGGAGGGGGAAGAAATCGTAGATTTCATTCCTGTCACTCACTAAACGTAAATCCAAAGGGGGGATTGGTCTTCTAGTACTTTCTATTTACTATTATGTAACTATCCTAGATCAACTTCCAGCGTGGTTTGTCCCGTCAGATAAATTCTGGGGACAAATAGAGCAGAGTGTGGTTCCCAATAGAGACTTTCGGGCATTATTATTAGCTAGGTCTGTTACATCCAAATTCTTAACTACATTTCTTCCATCCATCACCGCAACACTTGAAGCATGGATAATAGGTCTGAATAAATTGACTACCTCCTCTCCCAAACTTCAAATTGATATTCCATTATCACCGTATGAATACTGTATCCCGAATCTCAATACCAACCCCTTAAGGGATCTAGGTTACAGTGCTTTTGTGAAATAGGAAACACTATTCCAAGCAGAGGCCTACACTCTTTTTTTCAAATAAGAGGTTATCACAGTGTGAATCCGAAGAAATGGCTTGAAATAGATAGTTTTTATTTTCTATCCTGAATCTTTTTGTTAAAATTTCAATAAAAAAGATTTGGAAAGAAAAACGGGTTCAGTTAGCACACATTTGCTAAAACATGCGTAAGCTACAGAGCCTCGTCACGGCACCCCGATAATCTGTAGTTCCTAACTCTACAAATGTTGAGAGCCCCCATAGTAGAGGCACATGTATTTAATGGAGAGACCAAGGGCAGGTGGACCTGAGGTAGCCCACTCCTCAAAGGTATAGGAGTGCACTGGACACCAAGCATGTAGCACAATGGCAGTTAAGGTGTCCAGTGCACCCCCTCACCAACAATTCAGCAGTACAAAAAATGGCCACTGTCCCAGTCTATAACTGGCCTTCACAGCAAGGAGCACATGGAAGTATGACGCAAGTCAAACAACAAAGTTTGATGGACATGTGTTGCCCTTCCATGTGCTCCTTACTGTGAAGGCCAGTTATAGACTGGGGCAGTGGCCATTTTTGTACTAGTAAATCAGTGATACCTGAGGAAACTGATGGGGTGAGCTGAGGGTAGAGAGATAGATTTGGGTGTCATCGGCATAGAAATGATATTGGAAACCATGGAAAGCGGTCCAAGGACAGAATTCCTATTCCTATGAGTAATAGGAGAGGAGGAAGTAGAGTTTTAAGTGGCGCTGCAGGTGTGGCGAGATAGGCAAGATACAAACCAACAGAGAGTACAGTCATAGAGAAAGAGTTTCTTTGAGAAGGAGGGGGTGGTCAACTGTATCAAAGGCAGCGGAGAGGTTCAAGAGTAATAGTATGAAATGGTGCCTGTTGGTTTTAGCTATTAGTCGTCTGTGAGTTTTAGGAGAGCCGTTCTTATGGAGTGTTGTGGGCGAAGTGCAGACTGAAGGGGATCAAGAGGAGGCAGCTCAGCCGGTTATAGACTAGACGTTCAAGGAGTTTGGAAGCAAAAAGGAGTATGGAGATGGGAATTAAGTTGTTAAGATTGGTGGGGTCCAGTGAGGCCTTTTTAAGTATGGGGGTGACTAGTGCATGATTTAGAGGGTTATAGAAGATGCCAGTAGAAAGGGAGAGATTGAAATTAACCACTAGCCTACAGGGCACTTATACCCCCTTCCTGCCCAGGCCAATTTCCAGCTTTCAGCTCTGTTGCACTTTGAATGACAATTGTGCGGTCATGCAACACTGTACCCATATGACATTTTTATAATTTTTTTTTGTGACAGATAGCGCTTTATTTTGGTGGTATTTATTCACATCTGGGTTTTTTATTTTTTCTTAAACAAACCAAAAACCACAAAAAATTTTGAAAAAAAAAGTTTTTTCTTAGTTTTTGTTATAAAATTTTGTAAATAAGTGATTTTTCTCCTTCAATGATGTGCGCTAATAAGGCTGCACTGATAGGCCACACTGATAGGTGGCACTGATGAGGAGGCACTGGTAGGTGGTACTGATGGGCATTGACAGGCATCACTGATAAGGCAGCACCCATGTAAGCCACTGATAGGTGGCACTGACTGGCACTGTTAGGTGGCACTGACTGGCACTGTTAGGCGACACTGATGGGCAGCACTGATGGGCACTGATAGGTGGCACTGATGCACACTGATAGGCGGCACTGACTGGCACTGATTGGCAGCACTGATAGGTGGCACTGACTGGCATTGATAGGTGACACTGAAAGGCAGCTCAGATGGGCACTGATATGTGGCATTGATGTGCACTGGTAGGCACTGAAATGTGGCATTGATGGGCACTGGCAGGTGGCATCGATGAGCACTGACAGCTGGCACTGCTTGGGCTACACAGATCATCAGGGCACACTGATCATCAGTGCCCTGATGATCAGTGTACATGTCGCCTCTGAGGGATGCCGATTACAAGCTCTCTTCTCGAACTGTCAGCGTGACAGCTCATGGGGAGAGAAATGCCGATATCCTGCATTTCCCTATTTACATGTGATCAGCTGTGATTGGACACAGCTGATCACATGACCGAGCTGACATCTTCGGCTCTTTCCGTTGATCGGTGATCCACTGTGTCCGAGGGACACAGCGCACCGCCAATCGCCGCGTCATATGACGTCCTCAAAGAACGAGAGAACCGCCTTGCATCCGTCATTTTACTATATGGCGGGTGGGAGGCAGTTAAAGAGTGATGCTCAAGAGTGTGACTACATTTTCTGAGGCTTTTGGTATTGTCTGTTTGCTAGTGGGTTGTAGTGATCAGGCCTGATTATATGTGTATTGAGAGGGGCCAATGTGTGCAAGGTAGATGACAGTGACCTGTTGTAGACAGAAATGGCCAGGTTGGGGCAGGACAGGATTGAGATTTTGTCATAGAGACAATCTGTTGGAGAAAAAAGAGGTTAAGATGCCAAAGGTTTCTTCAGATAACTATTATGTTTTTGGAAGGAAAGGAGGAGGAAGACAAGGAGAGAGTGAGGCAGTTGCCATCAGAGTGAACAGAAGCATGTGTCCATTATTTTAGATCAAAAGAGGAGGTTAGGCTCAGAAGCAGCAGTAGTGTTAAAATTAACAGGGATGTTGAAGTCACCGAGAATGATTGATTGATTGATTGTGGGAATTTCAGAAGAGAGAAAGTAAGGTAACCAGGCAGAGAAGTAATTAAAGAAGCTTGATACCGGTCCTAGAGGCTGATAGATCACAGCAAAGAAACTTGAGAGAATACAATGAGCTTCAAATAAGGATAGGGAGGTGAATGGGGAGGACCTGAAAAGTGCTTTGAGGGGATAGGATTCCAACACCACTTCCCATCTGTCCACTAGGCCTGGGAGAGTGAGTCTAGAGGAGGCCTCCATGGGAGAGGGCAGCAGGACAGGGAAGGTCAGATTCTTGAAGCCAGATTTCCGTAACTGCAAGTAAGTTAAAGGAGTTTGGACCGATTTGAGTTTGTTACAGACAGAGCAGGCATTCCAAAGGGCACAGGGAAAGCGGGAGACTGGTTCTAGAAATTATTATTATTATTATACAGAATTTATATAGCTCCAACAGTTTGTGTTTGTGTTTTATTAGTATGTGGGTTCAGAATTAGCAGAAGTTGATGAATGCAGTAATAAGGTGATACATATAAGCTGTGGGGTGGAGAAGAAGGGTGAAGTAAAGAGAGTGAGGATACAATTATGAGAAGGAGAAGTAGCGAGTGCATGTTAGAGTGGTGAGATTAAAAAGGAAACTGGGTAAGAGATGAAAAAGCTTGATGGGGAAACGGGTCACCTGCAGTCATTTTAGTATTTTTCAGGCTGTGGATTCTCCCTTTGTACATTGGTAGAGCCAAAGTGCAATACTTAATCCAAGATTAATACTAGATCCAAGATGATAGTTGCCAATGCTATCCCAGTCTGTGCCTATATGAATTCTTGTATTCTCAAAAGAACAGTATTTTCTACCCAATGTAAAGTGCAATCTTGCCGTGCAAACTATGGAAAAAGTACCTTGTGTACTTGCATTATCAATTCATGTGCTGCAGCAGGCCAGGAGGGCTTGTGGACAGTTTCTGGAGCTCATACATAGCCATTGCTCACCTGGCAGAAATACAGCATGAATATCAGCTGCCTGCCACTGTCTGATCTATAACACATGCATATGCTAGAATTCCACCCTCTCCACACTACATGAAGAGCAGCTGCCTCAGCACCATTCTTATTTTTTTCTATAAAGGATAAGTTCATCTTTTTTTTTTGTAAAGTGCAGCTCCGCTGTGTACCTGTAGCCAGGTGCCAGTTATGTCATTATGCAATTCAGGGACACTTACAGATGAGATTATGATTTAGTCATTAGCCTTTTGCCCCTGATGCCTAGTACTGCAAAAACTATATCACTTCCTGTTAGCAGAGTGGATCCATTTCTTCTGACAGCAGAGGATCGTGGGACCTGTATTCCTGAGTGCTGATTAAACCACACATACCAGAGAGCTGGCAAACTAGGATGCTGGGAAAGCAGGTACAGTATATTCTACAGCAATGGAAAGGCTTGCTCTCTTGGATTCAGACCTGGATACAGGGGGACTGCTGTTTTTCTATAGAGACAGGCCTACTGCTGCAGGACTCTTCACAGCAGTTCAGCACAGTGGTGATGCCTGTTCACCACATCAGGATCTTATCAGTCTTCTGTGCACCGGGACTGTCACTGTCTGGTCCTCACACAGGCATTGCTGCTCGCTGAGCTGACATGCTGTAAGGCAGGAACTCCACATCCCTGCAAACAGTCAAAAAATTGTGCAATAACCTGGGATTGGTGAGCGGGCAGATGCCCAACCTCTTTCTGTTATCACAGAGACACTGCATGCAGACCTCTTTGACAGAACGCCTGGCACCCAGCTTGTGACATCCATCAGAGAACAGCTTCCTCTCCACTGGGACACAGGACCAAATTATTTTAGCCAGGCATTGCAGCAATTGCTTGATGTTGCAATTAATAGAAAACCAATTAACTCAATCCAAGTTAATGCCTACTACTTACTTTCCATTCACCAGTTGAGGGATTTGAACTCATGGACTCATGCTTATGAGCTTGGTGCCTTGCCGCCAGAGCCACCATCAGAGATGCTTGTGTATGCTGGGCATTGCACCCAAAACTAGGCGACACTAGCTTGAGGCAAACTGGAACACTTTATTGAACAGAAATACAGTTTTTATACACTCTAGGAATAGGACAGTCCCCCACACTTTAGATCACGAGGTAAAGCTGACATCAGTCTAATTCTATGATGTAGGCACCTCCAAGAGGACTTGACAACAGACCCACAGTAGGTGACTCAATTAATAATGGGAATGCACACCTTGGAGGCACACAATGGGAGAAGACAGTAAACACAACACCTTAATAAACAGATTAGAGCAAGAGTCCTCACATCAGGTTGTTCGGCTAACGGCATCAACATATTCTCAGAGTCCAGGAGGGGGATTGAAACAGTCAATATTAGTGTGGGCACACAGACCCCAAATCTGTATGTTGGTCCTCCAGTTCTCAGAATCTGTGTGCTTTGGGGAGACATGGACTTGAATCCCAAGTAAACTACTCCAAAGGTGTCCCCGCCCCCCCCCCCCCCCCCCAGGCACACACCAAAGAATAGAGCCCCCTCAGATGCCAGGGTCATGGTCAATAGGAAAGAGGCTAGACTGCAATCCCCTCCAAAAGCCCTGTTCTGGTTGGGTTTGTCACAACACCTTTACATCTCCATCACCAGGAAACCTCTGCTTTGAGCAGTATCACAGTATGTCTGTTTAAATTCATTGAATTATCAGTATTCACTAATGTTTATGGGCCACACCATTGCTAGCACAATACAGCAAATACCACCATATCAGGAAGTTTTAACATCATAGGACTCCAGCTGCAATTTTGAGTATACATTTATATATTTCCCTGCATACCCTTTGTAATGCCAGTGGCCCAGAGGGAGCTGAGAAGTCAGCAAGTCTTCTCTTCCCCCTCTTACTGCCAGTGTTGCAAATAAATAGTTGAAGCTTACTTCTTATGATTGACTGTATGGTCTGTTAACTTTGCGAATTGATTGTTCCTATTGTACCAGTGTTCTAGTTTAATGCATTAACTGAGGTTGTGCACTGTCATGCCTTCAGCATATTTTTATAAATGGTGAATGCTTGTGAGCTATTATGAAATGAGGTATTCAGTGGGTAATATATAGTGTGATCTTCTTATATGATGTGTAAGGTGCGCTGGCACTTGCACTGACTCACTCGCTAGTGTATATATAATGTTATAGATAGATAGTGCCGCGCTCCTATATATTGGTGTATATATCTCTTACTTTTAGAGGTGCTTTAAATATTTATCTAAAGCAATTCATAAATCTCTGTGATCAATAAATAAAATATAATATAGATAGCAATTGTGAATTATTGGTGAATCGCTATACCTAGTGAATCAAACAGTAAATATGAATTACAATATATCAAGAGCCTTCATGCAGGTGACTAGTAACTATCAATCCTAAAGTGATTGTGACTTGAGAGGTACAATTGAATACAAATACATACAATCTAAATTAGTGCGCCTCTGTTCTGCTGTGATCACTCTATTCACATTGTGCAAAAACATATGAAATTGTGCACGTGCATATAATAAAATAAATATATAAAAAGTCTTTCAAAATAAAGTGTGCAGGTGGATTCCTTATTTCCTCTCGCCGAGTGCTTAATGGTCTCCCTATGTGCTCACCTCTATATTTGCCTGAATAAATCCAGGCAAATACGCTTTTTATCCTTCCAGGATAGATGGGAAGGGATGATACTCTTGTACTAGTTGTTCCAGAAGGTAGGTGTAGATTAGAGACGAGCGAATCGAACCTGGCGAAGTGGAATTCGTTTCGAATATCAGGAAAAATTTGATTCGCATCGAATCCGAATTTTAGCAAACTTCGGGTGCACGAATCGAATTTTTCCCGATCAGCCGGCAAAAGTGTCACTGCAGAGAGCTCCGCTATTTCTGACAGTTCTGACAGTTCATTTACAGCGGTTGAAACATTGTATCTATTTGTTTCCATTTAGGATACAGATGTTTTTATTCGGAAATAGATACAATGTTTCAAACCGCTGTAAATGTGAAGGAACTGTCAGAGAATTGTCAGAAATAGCGGAGCTCTCTGCAGATACACTTTTTGCTGTACTGGAACACTTCTTTTCATTCTTCTTTTCATTCTTCTTTTCATTCTTCTTCTTCTTCTTCTTTTCATTCTTCTTCTTTTCTTCTTCTTCTTCATTCTTTTCATTCTTCTTTTCTTCTTCTTTTCATTCTTTTCATTCTTCTTTTCATTCTTCTTTTTTCTTCTTTTCATTCTTCTTTTCATTCTTCTTTTCATTTCTTCATTTTTCATTCATTCTTCTTCTTCTTCTTCTTTTCATTCTTCTTCTTCTTCTTCTTTTCATTCTTCTTCTTCTTTTCATTCTTCTTCTTCTTTTCATTCTTCTTCTTTTCATTCTTCTTCTTTTCATTCTTCTTCTTTTCATTCTTCTTCTTTTCATTCTTCTTCTTTTCATTCTTCTTCTTCTTCTTCTTTTCATTCTTCTTCTTCTTCTTCTTTTCATTCTTCTTCTTTTCATTCTTCTTCTTTTCCTTTTTTCTTCTTTTCCTTCTTCTTTTCCTTCTCTTCGTCGTGCCCCGTGACTGCCCAAATGAGTGAAGTGTGCGGTGATTCTAAGATCGACGGCACTCATCTGCATGTCATACTGACTGACAGTATTATCTCTCTTCCCCAGCAGACTCCAAGGGCATTTAAATTAAAGGTACAGTGTTCTGCACTAATATAAAGGCTCTCTGAAGCCTAGAAACCCTTTTAATAAGTTAAATTCGCGGCAAATAAATTTGCATCGAATCGAATTTCTCCCGCAAATTCGGCGAATCAGCCGAATCGAATTTTTGAATAATTCGCTCATCTCTAGTGTAGATCTATATAGGCTCTCCTGTTCTCTCCTTTATCCCCTTGTACAGCTGCTCATGAATGGATATCCTGACCAGCTCTCTGAGGATCTCCTAATTCCCCTCCTGGGGTTGTCTCCTTCTCCAATCCTCCTTATACCAGCTCGAGGAGTGTTGGTCAATTGAAAAAGGGAAGAAAACAGACCATGGTGCCTTATCTTTGTGCATAAAAGGAGATTTATTGCTGCCAATTAGGTGTTGCACAATGGTATACAGCTCTGTTGTAATCCAGGTCAGCATAGATGACAATCTACAGAGATACTCTGCCTCTGCCCCTGCAGTGCTGTCTGCCTCCGTCTGTACTAGGATCACCGAGCCTCTCCAATGCAACGTCGTGACGTCAGAGCCCCTCCCCTCGGCGAGAGGAAAATAAGGAATCCACCTGCACACTTTATTTTGAAAGACTTTTTATATATTTATTTTATTATATGCACGTGCACAATTTCATATGTTTTTGCACAATGTGAATAGAGTGATCACAGCAGAACAGAGGCGCACTAATTTAGATTGTATGTATTTGTATTCAATTGTACCCTCTCAAGTCACAATCACTTTAGGATTGATAGTTACTAGTCACCTGCATGAAGGCTCTTGATATATTGTAATTCATATTTACTGTTTGATTCACTAGGTATAGCGATCCACCAATAATTCACAATTGCTATCTATATTATATTTTATTTTATTGATCACAGAGATTTATGAATTGCTTTAGATAAATATTTAAAACACCTCTAAAAGTAAGAGATATATACACCAATATATAGGAGCGCGGCACTATCTATCTATAACAGCATATTTTTTATGTTATGTCCATTGTTAGTTTATTATTAGAGATGAGCAAAGTATTCAAAAATTCGATTCGACTGATTCAGCGAATTCGTGGAAAAATTTCGATTCGAGTCGAATATATTCGCTGCGAATTTAACTTATAAAATGGTGTTTCTAGGCTTCAGAGAGACTTTTATATTAGTGCAGAACACTGTACCTTTAATTTAAATGCCCTTGGAGTCTGCTGGGGAAGAGAAATAATACTGACGGTCAGTATGAGACATGCAGATGAGTGCCGTCGATCTTAGAATCACCGCACACACTTCACTCATTTGGGCAGTCACGGGGCCAAAACCAGAGTGTGGAGCCCACAGTGTGGCGGTGAAGGCAGCAGCAATGGGAGGCATACAGCACCCTATGACAAAATGGAAACCACCAGCAGTGTGAGGAGACCTGAAAGTGGCACATGGCAGAGTGTGGCGATGGAGACAGCAGCAATGGGAGGCTGTACAGGGGGGACCCATGACAGACTCTGGACTTGGCAGCAGCATGAGGAGGCAGTATAGGGGCCCATGGCAGATTAGGGGCCTGGCAGCAGCTATGGGAGGCCCGTAATCTGCCAGCACCCTATGTCAAAAAATTGAACACACCAGCAGTGTGAGGAGACCTGAAAGTGGCACATGGCATGAGACATGTGGACCTGGCAGCAGCATGAGGAGGCGGTACAGGGGCCCATGGCAGATTAGGGGCCTGGCAGCAGCTATAGGAGGCCCGTAATCTGCCAGCACCCTATGTCAAAAAATTGAAACACACCAGCAGTGTGAGGAGACCTGAAAGTGGCACATGGCATGAGACACTGTGGACCTGGCAGCAGCATGAGGAGAGGCGGGTACAGGGGACCATGGCAGATTAGGGGCCTGGCAGCAGCTATAGGAGGCCCGTAAATCTGCCAGCACCCTATGACAAAAAATGGAACACACCAGCAGTGTGAGGAGAACTGAAAGTGGCACATGGCAGAGTGTGGCGATGGAGACAGCAGCAATGGGAGGCCGTACAGGGACCCATGACAGACTCTGGACTTGGGCAGCAGCATGAGGAGGGCGGTATAGGGGCCCATGGCAGATTAGGGGCCTGGCAGCAGCTATGGGAGGCCCGTAATCTGCCAGCACCCTATGTCAAAAAATTGAACACACCAGCAGTGTGAGGAGACCTGAAAGTGGCACATGGCATGAGACACTGTGGACCTGGCAGCAGCATGAGGAGGTGGTACAGGGGCCCATGGCAGATTAGGGGCCTGGCAGCAGCTATAGGAGGCGGTAATCTGCCAGCACCCTATGTCAAAAAATTGAACACACCAGCAGTGTGAGGAGACCTGAAAGTGGCACATGGCATGAGACACTGTGGACCTGGCAGCAGCATGAGGAGGCGGTACAGGGGCCCATGGCAGATTAGGGGCCTGGCAGCAGCTATAGGAGGCCCGTAATCTGCCAGCACCCTATGACAAAAAATGGAACACACCAGCAGTGTGAGGAGACCCTGAAAGTGGCACATGGCAGAGTGTGGCGATGGAGACAGCAGCAATGGGAGGCCGTACAGGGACCCATGAGAGACTCTGGACCTGGCAGCAGCATGAGGAGGCGGTATAGGGGCCCATGGCAGATTAGGGGCCTGGCAGCAGCTATAGGAGGCCCGTAATCTGCCAGCACCCTATGTCAAAAAATTGAACACACCAGCAGTGTGAGGAGACCTGAAATGTGGCACATGGCATGAGACACTGTGGAACCTGGCAGCAGCATGAGGAGGCGGTACAGGGGCCCATGGCAGATTAGGGGCCTGGCAGCAGCTATAGGAGGCCCGTAATCTGCCAGCACCCTATGACAAAAAATGGAACACACCAGCAGTGTGAGGAGGAGACCTGAAGTGGGCACATGGCAGAGTGTGGGCGATGGAGACAGCAGCAATGGGAGGCCGTACAGGGGGACCCATGAGACACTGTGGACCTGGCAGCAGCATGAGGAGGCGGTACAGGGGCCCATGGCAGATTAGGGGCCTGGCAGCAGCAATGGGAGGCCCGTAATCTGCCAGCACCCTATGACAAAAAATGGAACACACCAGCAGTGTGTGAGGAGACCTGAAAGTGGCACATGGCAGAGTGTGGCGATGGAGACAGCAGCAATGGGAGGCCGTACAGGGACCCATGAGAGACTCTGGACCTGGCAGCAGCATGAGGAGGCGGTATAGGGGCCCATGGCAGATTAGGGGCCTGGCAGCAGCAATGGGAGGCCCGTAATCTGCCAGCACCCTATGACAAAAAATGGAACACACCAGCAGTGTGTGAGGAGACCTGAAAGTGGCACATGGCAGAGTGTGGTGATGGAGACAGCAGCAAGCAATGGGAGGCGGTTCAGGGACCCATGAGACACTGTGGACCTGGCAGCAGCATGAGGAGGCGGTACAGGGGCCCATGGCAGATTAAGGCCTGGCAGCAGCAATGGGAGGCCCGAATGGCGACGCTGCATATGCTGATGCAACGCTGTAGTCCCCAACATGGGCCCCCTGGCCACGCTTGACTTTCTGGCCACATAGTCGACATTACGGCTACGTTTACTTCCTCGGGCGGCTTGACGAAAAAATTGCCACACCGACCGAGTAGGAAACTTTGCCCCGCTACTCCTCACTGGCTGACTGCTACTTCCTCCGTGCACACACCGGCACCACTACTGGCCGTGGTGGTAGGCTGCAGTGGAGCTGGTGCTCTACTCCGTGGCCGTTTGCCTCCACTGACACTGCTGCGACCCTGCTGCCTCCTGGCAGCAGCAATGGGAGGCCGTACAGGGACCCATGACACACTTGGACCTGGCAGCAGCATGAAGAGGCGGTACAGGGGCCCATGGCAGATTACGGGCCTGGCAGCAGCAATGGGAGGCCCGTAATCTGCCAGCACCTATGACAAAAAATGAAAACACACCAGCAGTGTGTGAGGAGACCTGAAAGTGGCACATGGCAGAGTGTCGTGATGGAGACAGCAGCAATGGGAGGCCGTACAGGGACCCATGAGAGACTCTGGACCTGGCAGCAGCATGAGGAGGCGGTACAGGGGCCCATGGCAGATTAGGGGCCTGGCAGCAGCTATTGGGAGGCCCGTAATCTGCCAGCACCCTATGACAAAAAATGTAACACACCAGCAGTGTGTGAGGAGACCTGAAAGTGGCACATGGCAGAGTGTGGCGATGGAGACAGCAGCAATGGGAGGCCGTACAGGGACCCATGAGAGACTCTGGACCTGGCAGCAGCATGAGGAGGCTGGTTATAGGGGCCCATGGCAGATTAGGGGCCTGGCAGCAGCTATGGGAGGCCCGTAATCTGCCAGCACCCTATGACAAAAAATTGAACACACCAGCAGTGTGAGGAGACCTGAAAGTGGCACATGGCAGGGGGCATGATTCATGGTGGATTTAGTCAGTTGTGTCAGGAACTGGTGGTTTGAAATCCAGGACTAATCCACGCCTGATTCATTTTCACAAACGTGAGTCTCTCCACACTTTGGGTGGACAGTCGTGTCCTCCGTGGAGTTACAATACCTCCTGCCGCAGTAAACACGCGCTCCGATGCCACGCCTACTGGCCGGGCATGACAGCCTTTCAAGGGCAAAATTCAGCTAGTTGGGGCCAAAGGTCAAGTTTCGTTGCCCAGTAGTCAAGGGGATTGTCTACCTCGGTTGGCAGGGTGCTGTCCAAGTAGGCCCAAGCCTGTTGTTTGAGGTCCTGCTCCAGGTCCACCTGATGCTGCTGCGGCTGGTTAGTAGTTTCCTCACTGCGCTGGTGAAGAAAGCTACTCATCATCGACTGCAGACTGAGTCAGCCGCTGCTGGTGGAGCTGCCACTGCTCCTACCACCCCACCCCTCCTTTGCTGCCATGGCAGCGGAACGCGAGCGCACAGGGCTTACAGTGTCTGAGGATGGACGTTGTTGCGCACAAAGGCAGAGACCAACTGACTACATAGGTGGTTTTTATAGTACGTTATTTTGGCCTCCCTCTCAGCAGGTGTGAAAAAGGCCACCATTTTTGAACGGTAGCGAGGGGTCCAACAAGGTGGACAGCCAAAAGTCATCCCTCTGTCTGATGGTTCTTATTCGGCTGTCGCTACGCAAGCAACCGAGCATGCTATGGGCCATTTGTGCCAAGGAATGCGAGGGACTCCCTGACTCCATCTCCACAGCATACTGCCACGGTGCGTCGTCTGGGTCTCTCTGTCTCCTCCTCCTCTACCAGATGCTCCTGCTCCTCCACTCCTGTCCGCTGAGTGGAAAAACCACCCATTTCACTCAATAATTCCTGAGCACAAAATGTCCTCCTCTACCTCCTCCTCTTCTTCCTGTCCTGCCCCCACAGGGGTCATGTGGCATTGAGATCTGTGCGCCACATCTACAGCACCCTGACCAGCCATTGTTAACAGCATTTGTTCCAGGACGTGCAACAGAGGAATGACGTCGTTCATCCCATAGTCCTGCCGACTCACGAATAGCGTGGCCTCCTCAAAGGGCCTGAGCAAGCGGCAGGTGTCACGCATGAGCTGCCAATGGCTGACATCGAAGTTACCACAGGGGAGTACCTTTATCCGCTTGTAACATCAGGAAATCGGTGATGGCCTTTCGCTGTTCGTAAAGGCGGTCTACCATGTGTAGGGGTTGAATTCCACCTTGTTGCAACGTCGCAGATCAGGCGATGCTGTGGAATTTCCGTTCTGCCGCTGCAGCTCAAGGAGGGGTGTGCTTTGCGGTGTAGGAATGTCTGAAATGCATGCAAGGTTTACGTGACATTTTAAGGATGTCTTGCAGTGGGATGGTGGATTTTTAGGAACGCTTGACAACCAGATTGAACACGTGAGCCATGCATGGCGCATGGCACAACCTTCCTTGACGCAGAACAGACACCATGTTCTTTCCGTTGTCGGTCAACGTGGTTCCGATTTTCAGTTTGCGCGGAGACAGCCATCTGTCGATTTCTCTGTTCATTACACTGAGAAGTTCCGCCCCTGTGTGACTACGTTCGCCTGGACCTGGCAGCAGCATGAGGAGGCGGTAGGTTATAGGGGCCCATGGCAGATTAGGGGCCTGGCAGCAGCTATGGGAGGCCCGTAATCTGCCAGCACCCTATGTCAAAAAATTGAACACACCAGCAGTGTGTGAGGAGACCTGAAAGTGGCACATGGCAGAGTGTGGCGATGGAGACAGCAGCAATGGGAGGCCGTACAGGGACCCATGAGAGACTCTGGACTTCGCAGCAGCATGAGGAGGCGCTATAGGGGCCCATGGCAGATTAGGGGCCTGGCAGCAGCTATGGGAGGCCCGTAATCTGCCAGCACCCTATGTCAAAAAATGTAACACACCAGCAGTGTGTGAGGAGACCTGAAAGTGGCACATGGCAGAGTGTGGCGATGGAGACAGCAGCAATGGGAGGCCGTACAGGGACCCATGAGACACTCCTGGACCTGGCAGCAGCATGAGGAGGCGGTACAGGGGCCCATGGCAGATTAGGGGCCTGGCAGCAGCTATGGGGAGGCCCGTAATCTGGGGGGGGCCAGCATCCTATGACAAAAAATGGAACACACCAGCAGTGTGTGAGGAGACCTGAATGTGGCACATGGCAGAGTGTGGCGATGGAGACAGCAGCAATGGGCCGGAGGTTACAGGGACCCATGAGAGACTCTGGACTTCGCAGAGCAGCATGAGGAGGCGGTATAGGGGCCCATGGCAGATTAGGGGCCTGGCAGCAGCTATGGGGAGGCCCGTAATCTGCCAGCACCCTATGACAAAAAATGTAACACACCAGCAGTGTGAGGAGACCTGAAAGTGGCACATGGCATGAGACACTGTGGACCTGGCAGCAGCATGAGAGGCGGTTACAGGGGCCCATGGCAGATTAGGGGCCTGGCAGCAGCTATGGGGAGGCCCGTAATCTGCCAGCACCCTATGACAAAAAATGGAACACACCAGCAGTGTGTGAGGAGACCTGAAAGTGGCACATGGCAGAGTGTGGCGATGGAGACAACCCACCGACTGTTTTGCTCGCTGCCAAGCTGCCACCCTCTTCTCCTGATGATGCGGAAGCAATAGCCTGATGACGACGAGGCTGCCAAGTGCGATCAGCCTCATCATCATCAATCAGGGTCTCCGCCTCACTACTAGCCCCCTCGGCTGCGTGTGGGTCAGGAGACAGACCTGTCTCTAGACCGGCTACCGAGCCACTCTCCTCGCCACTACTTCTTCGCCTGGCTGCTGAAGAGGCGGATGTCTCCTCCCGTTCCTGACCGCCCTCTGTTAGCTCTTCCTCACTGTACTGGATGACACCGGGAGCACTGGGCCTCTGGCTGCGAATAGTGCTGCCTCGACCCCTTCCTCTGCTGCCACGTCTGCTCGCTCCTAAAACATTGCCTCCTCTGCCACTCCTCTGCATGTGTTGTCTGACATACTCTTTAATTCAACGATTCTGTGTCCCTGAGTAACAATTCTGTGTCTGTCCCTGAGTAACAATTCTGTGTCTGTCCCTGAGTAACAATTCTGTGTCTGTCCCCGAGTAACAATTCTGTGTCTGTCCCCGAGTAACAATTCTGTGTCTGTCCCTGAGTAACAATTCTGTGGCCCTAAGTAACAATTCTGTGTCCCTCAGTTAACAATTCAGGTGTCACTGTCCCTAAGTAACAATTCTGTGGCCCTAAGTAACGTTTCTGTGGCCCTCAGTAACAATTCTGTATCCCTCAGTAACAATTCTGTGTCCCTAAGTAACGTTTCTGTGGCCCTAAGTAAACGTTTCTGTGGCCCTATGTAACGTTTCTATGGCCCTAAGTAACGATTCTGTGGCCTAACTAACGTTTCTCTGTCCCTAACTCTCTCCCTGCATACAGCCAGGTCTGCCTCTGTTGAATGACTGGAGGCAAATGGAGAATTCTAAAATGGCCGCCATTTATAGCTCGACCATTACACTGTGCTGGCTGGCTGGCTGCTGATTGGCTAATGCGATCACATGTCATGAATGGAATGCATTATGGGTCAGCGCGCTTGTCTGCGCGCCTTCCCAGACATCCCCGCTCCATCGCCGCACATTGTCTCCGCCCATTTTAGAAAAAATTTTGATTCGCGCATCCGAAGTCTGCTTATTTCGGATTCGACGCGAATCGAAATTTTCCTAATATTCAAAACGAATTCCACTTTGCCTACTTCGATTCGCT